AACGTGGATGGCACAGTGGCGGCCTACCGGTTGCCGTACCTGCTGGCCGGGGGCAGCGTGGTGCTGAAGCAGGATTCCGGATACTACGAGCACTTCTACCGCGAGCTGCGGCCTTGGGAGCACTACATTCCCTTCAGACGCGACCTCGGCGACCTGCTGGACAAGATCCGCTGGGCCAGGGAGCACGATGAGGAGGTACCCTGCCGAGCTGCCAGCAGGAGGCCAGATCGTTGGCACTTGGGGGGTGGCATTCCTTCAAATTGCTTAATTTTGCTGCGTTCCATTTACCTCGTAGGTCAGAGCTGGGAATGACATCATACACAAATTTGTTGCGTTCCAGTATAGCAAGTCAGAATGCCATTTAGCAATTCCTTCAAAAAGCAACATTTCTTGCTTAGCCGGATAACTTGTCAGAATTAATTTACCACAGTTTACACAGCCTTTGTCTTCATTCTCTTACATTTAACTTGAACTACCTTAAATCCAGCTAAGCAAGAAAACCTACTTTCTGAAATAGGCCCTTGTTCTAGCCAGGGTCATTGTTAGCCATTGTTAGCAACACTGTAGCAACATGTCCACAGATAGCGGTTGGACAGTACTGTGTGTATGAGCAACTGAATGAGACACAGATAAGACAAAAGTATAAAACTACAGCCTTAACTTCTCTTGGTAAATGGTGCAGCCATCTTGAATTCTGAGCTGCCGATTCAACTGGGAACTTGGAACGCAGCATTAATACCGTGCGTTTGTGAATGATAGGGAAGGAACAAAGGTTCAGATCATTGTTTGCGTGACTGACTGGCAGGTCCAGTTTGGAATGGACATTTACATTCCTGAATATTAATGCACTATGTGTCCATTAGTATATTGATGCCCCTACTAATTAAAGCAGTTTGCTAATGAATCTACACCTACTGCTGACACAGGTGTATAATTAAGCACAGTCTCACGATCTCCTGCAACAACCATCATCAGCAGAATGGGTGGTTGTACAGAAGAGGTTAGTGACCTTCCACTTGGCACCAGCACAGGACGCCAAGTCAGTTTACTAGATTTCTGTCCAGCCTAGAGCCACTCTGGTCTGCTGCAGGTGAAGGGGACACATCTGGAACTAAGGTCAGGGGTGAAGTGGTCGACCATAAGCTCACAGGAGGGAAACTGATAACCCAGCATCAATACCAAACATAAATGGCAGCAAATCCCACCAGCAATGTCAAAGCGTCTAATGGAAAGCCTCCATAGACAAGTAGTGGTCACTACAGCAACAAAGGGCTGATCGTCTTCATATTAATACCCTTTGCATTTGACTCCAGGGAGGCCATGACCTCATTTCCTGTCCTGTCTCTGCTTTCAGAGCAGGAAGATCGCAACAGCTGGCCAGCAATTTGCACGGACTCACCTCATGGGGGACGACATTTTCTGCTATTACTTCAAGCTCCTCCAGGTGACAGCCTGTTTGCCATTTTTTGTTCTTCTCGCGTCTTGGCTGAACTGATGACTTAGGAAATTAATTGCTGTTTCATACATGGAGGCATGGGGGAGGCATGGTGGTGCAGTGGGGGGGGTGGGGGGTGGGTTGGGGGGTGCTGCTGTCTCACACCTTTAGCTTTGGGGCTTAGAATCCCTCCCCCACCTTGCGTGTGGTGTCGGCAGGTTTTCTCCTGCAGTCGAAAAACAGTAGTGTCCCTAAAGTTGCCCGTAGTGTCTGATTGTATGTGAATGTGTGGGTGCCCAGTGATGACCTCACATCCTGTCCAGGGTGTCCTCCTGTCTGATTGGATCCAGGCCGCCGTGACCGTGCACTGGATAAGCAGTCGAAGATGGATGGATTGATTATTATATAACTGTAACTGGGTAAAACCCCTACATGATTAGTTTTAAGAAAGCTTAGTTATTTCTTGGAATATTCTTGGTGATGCCACATTGCAATCCTGTGTCTTCTGTACTTTTATAGTGTAATAAAAAGCTTGACATTTTCAGCCTCCGCAGGAATTCTCCGCATTATCAGTTTATCTTATCTTTTGTATCTCTTCCTTCACTTTAACAAGATTTTGTCAAGGACACAGATGAGGACGGCAGCTGTAGTCTCAGGTCGCGCTGTACTGAAGGCGTGTCTGTCGGAATGCGGGTCACGCAGACCCTTTGGGTCCTGATCAGACTCCTTTTTTGACACAGTTCTAGCTCTCACCATTTGTACCCAAAGCCTCCTACACTCTGAATCCTAGCCAGCGTAATGTTCTTAATCTTTGCATAATTTATAATTTAATATAACATTAATGTGTTGGGGTTAAATGCGACTGGGTACTAAACCTGCTTCGAGGACTGTGTCACAGCAAAGTGGCTTCTTTTATGGGCCTGATTGCCATTGACATGTTTGCTATCTATAGGTTTGGCTCCTGCGTAACCTTGACACGGACGGACTGGCATCGGTGTGGGTGATGTGTGTGGCATTGCCCTCCTGGATGGTGCATTAACAACAGCACCCCCTCCACACACACACACAAATACCATCTATGGCATCTGCACGGGCACAGATCAAACTTGCTTTTAAGCAGTAGTTGCACAACAGCAGCAGGTATCTGTCATAGAACAGGGTCTATGACCAGAATGTTATGGGTTCAAATCCCAGTATGGACACGCCCGTTTTACCACTGCTGGTCTTTTGCAGTGCATTTCATTTTTATCTGTAAATATCAAGCTGTGTAACCAGGCATAGTCTGCGAATGGACTTAAGTGTGTTAACACCTTGCTTCGCTTGTTGAACACGCTCTATCTCTCAGTTTAACCAGCGCTCAAAGGTGTATAGACTCCTGGGATTGCTTGACCAAGACATATGTTTAGAAATTCCGTTTTTGTGTATTCTTATAACATTTTGAATTAATTTCAGACTTATTTACAGGAGTTCAGCGGTGAGCACCTACATTTTCACATTGAGACATTGTTTAATTTTTTTAAATTGATGTGGATATTTAGTGCCCGTAGTGACGGTTATTCTTGTTTAAAGAACACATTTACTGTGTTTTGTTGGTTGATTGACTGATTAAATTAAATTAAAGGGACAGTACGCCTTCCCTCACCTCCACCCCCTCTTGTTGTAGGCCTACGCTGCTCTGCAGATCAGCAAGCCTAAGGTGCGAGAAGGGATGGAGCGGCTGCAGCAGCCGAATGAGGAGCTTTTCCCCTGCTCCTGTCACAGACAGAGGGTATGAACGGCGGCAGCATCATCCATGCGGGAGAGCGGGCTGTGCTGAGCCAGAGCGGGCTGTGCTGAGCCAGAGCATTGCCATTGTTATTCATCACAGAGCTACTTGTCTGAATGGTGATGAAAACATGAGCAAGTTCTGCCTCTTAAAAACCTTAATCTGCAGCCATCTTTCGCAAAACTCTCCATATCTTTTCTCAGTTTCTGGTTCCTAAAACCCCTTTTTTGCTGATTACAGTTACGAGATATGTCCTTTGGAGAGTGAAGATCTTCCTTCTGTTATTTTAGTTCCTGTCTGTTTGCTTGTACGACCACAGGCGGGTTTATCTCGTTACGTCTCTTAGGACACGTTTTGTACTCTGTAGTGATTCTCTTAAAAAAAATTAAATAAAAACACAGGATTCTGGATATTCTGGGCCTTGGACCACCTCCTCACATCTTTCATGAACATATGAAACAAATATACCTATGTGTATGTGTAAAACTCTTTTGTTTTTGGATTTACAGGCCAATGATGAGCTTTGACTGATGGAGAACCACACAAATATGAAGGACTCTGTATGTGTTGCTGCAAACCTGTTTTTTATATACACATGCTGCAAGGACTTGTTATTACATTGCACAATACTATATTTTATAATAAACTGTTTTTCACTGTTATGAACTTTCTTGTACATTTCAATTTTGATTCATTTGCACATAGTATTTGTCTGTGTCACTATTAGACTGTTGTGGAAACTGCAGTAGTCATTTTGGCCTGTGATCAACAGTGAATTCTACGTTTTTTAATATATTTTAATAAAGTGTTTTCTTGATATGTTGTAAACGACCTCCCTGTAATTCCTCAGTGACCTATTATTGAATTGTGTTAGTGAACTGAATATCTGAATTTCATCCACATTCTGAGTAATTCCTCTTGGCAGTACGGCGAAGTCCTGAACTTGCCGAGTCACCATAAGGCAAAGACTAAGATGGAATATATCATAAATTTTAGCTTCATAAAAATACCTTAACCTTGAAATGTTCTCTGAGTAAAACGCTAAAATTGTGCTTACCACAGTTACATTTAAAATTGGTGCAAAATAAATGTTTTAATCCGATATTAAAGAATACCATCATCATGCCATAATTTACTGTTCAGAAATGGTATCCTATTAAAAGATATTGAGAAAATCTGTCTTAATAAAACAAGCGAATTATAACTATCAATTAATCATAGCACCTTTTGTAGACCATTTGGGCGCTATTAAATGTATTTATCCGGAATATCTGTAGACTAAACATTTTAAATTCGGTTTTGGCCTCTTCGGTCACTTGACCGTAATATATGTTCTATACACAGTGACAGAGATCGTTGAGTGTTTTCCAAGTTTACAAAAGGTGGACATTTTCTAATTTTCATACCTAATTGATTTACATTTATTTACCAGACGCTTCTGTCTAAAACGACGTACCACTGCGGCAAATACATTAATAATAACTAATAGTAATTAAACAACAAAAATTACAATAAGACTAACAAGGTCGCGCGAACAATAACATTTAATTCCTGCATTTATTTGAACTTGAGTTCCTCACGCATTAGACTTAGTTCCCTGAAAGCCTTTTGGTCTCATAAAATACGTATACAGTGCGCAAAGTGACTATGCTGTATATAAACTCTGCAATGGAGTGCAATAATAATAAAAATTTCAGGATGCTATAGGGATCCCTGCCCGTATAAGTAGCCTGCATAGTTTGTCAATGACTTTCAGGAACGTTAATGATATGTAAAAGACGAACCTTATCCTTTAAAAAAACCGTCACAAAGTAAAAAACCCCGAGACATTAGATGGCGGTATTTTGTTTTTGCGAACATTTCACAAGTTAATTTTACACAGTCCCGGTCCAGCGGAATCCTGCGATGTCCTACCGGTGTTGGTTATTTGGTTTGAAATGGAAACCTTTCATGAGGTAACTTACTTAAATACGGATCTGCGACAAAAGACAGCCACGATACATATTTATTACTTGCATCATCTGTGCAAACACATGGCGTTTACAATGAGTGCCACCGCCAAAGTTTATTTGTACGTGATCCACAGTTGGAGCTCTTATTGATGTACATAATTCTTATAGGTAGTTTACATCATGCGCAAAATGGTTATTAAATAATCAGTAATCAGAAAGTAAATGCGTATATATGTACTTGGGTGCATTTTGCAGGAAAATGTCAGAATCGCGTTCGGAGGCAGGTCCCTGGATGCGGTGCTGAGCATCCCCGGGCAGAGCACCACCGTGCGGGCCGCGCTGGTACTGACGCACGGGGCTGGCGGAGACATGAACGTCAAGCACCTGGTCTCTCTGGCCAAGGCCGCTGCCGCCGCCGGTTTGCTGTGCCTGCGGTTCACATGTAAAGGTCTCAATCTCAGCTACAGGGTGAAGGCCTACACAGCAGTTATGGTAATTCACCTGCACTCCTTTACTTTCAAAATGACTGACAGGCACACTGGTGGTTTCAGTACGGTTTTTCTATTTACTTGGGATCTTGTTTCATGATATATAGTGTCAAATAATATATTTTGCTTTGCAGGAATATCTGAGAAATCAAGAGAAGTTCACCCTAACGAGTATATTTGTGGGCGGTAAGCAGAACACAAACGCGTCGAACTCACAATACCCATAATGCATTGCTTTTGTCCTTGAGATGTCAAAATCGAAACAAATTAAAACTGCAGAAGAGGAGGCACAGCAGAGAAAATTTATTTCGGGGGGCAGGCAGTGTGAAGAGTGTGCATTTATGCTGTTCTTTTTGTACATACTTTAATTAGCAGTGACTTGGAACTCAAACAAGCGGCCATTTGTTTTAGATCTGCCTGTCTAGCCACATGCTACATGCTAAATGTCTCCCTGAAATGCATGTTTTTTGTGTGTGTCAACGCTCAGGCCGTTCGATGGGGGCTCGTGCCGCAGCATGCCTGACCAATCAGCTGAGCACAGGGGTGGGTGACGTTCCACACGGCCTGGTTTGCCTGTCCTTCCCGCTGCACCCTCCGGGCCAGACGCACACACACCGACAACGCAGTGAGGACCTTCGCAGTCTGGCAGGGGTCCCTGTGCTGTTTGTGTCCGGCACTGCCGACGACATGTGTCAGCGGGTAAGGATGCGCCGCAGACCGCCAGTGGGTAGGTCTGCAAGGTCCAGGTACAGTCCAAAGGCACCGTGTTCATCTCACATGGTCATGTGCGACAGAACGTGCCTGAACTGATTGAGGTCTTCCACGTTTTTCACAGCGCAGACAGACTGAGGGTGGAAACTCAGTGTTATTGAGATGAAATTTGGTCCACTAGCCAAATAATTTAAAAAATTCATGATTCAAACAGATTCTGTTTTTTTAGAATCTTGCCATATCGATCAAACTGAGCTTTATAAATAAATTCCTTGCTGCAATTTCTTTAATTGTTTTTGAGGAAAATTTCTGTCCTGGGTTCTTAAATGATATTTCTTGATGTAATGCAGAGTCTCCTGGAGGATGTGACCAAGCACATGAAGAGCCCAACTACAGTCCAGTGGATCGAGGGGGGCAGCCATGGGCTGGTGGTGAAGGGGCGGGCGGAGGACGAGGTGCTGGCCCAGGTGAACTCCTGCATTGTGACCTGGATCTTGGAGCATGTTGACCGTGCCACCTCCCCCTGACCCCTCCCCCTGACCGTGCCACCTCCCCCTGACACCTCCCTCTGACCGTGCCACCTCCCCCTGACCGTGCATGCAAGTCAAATCTGCATTGTAGCTAATGTGTATATTCCTATTGAGGTCCTTCATAAATAGACACACCTTAAAAATGCCTGTGTTGACCCTGATTATAGTAAACAAAATAAATTAAGTATTCCTTGAAAGGCCTAAATAAATAAATCCTTTATTTGGCATTTGCACGAGTATGAGTACATTGGAATGCTTCTCTTCGCTGACGTCATCTTGTTCTCTGTAGCTTGGGGGTCCCAGCACAGGGTCAGCGCACAGTCATGTGTGGCACCCCTGGTGCTTGGAGGTCCCAGCACAGGGTCAGCGCACAGTCATGTGTGGCACCCCTGGAGCT